TGTAAGTGGTGCCGAATACCTATTTTTCGCACACAGGCCTAGAGACAAGATCCAACTGGGTAGCATCATGTTATTACACTTCCACCCATACAGTCTTCCATTTTTGGGTCAAGAGGCAATGCTGGAGCCGGCAGGCATAGATCCATAGCTTCTTCTTGCTCCTTTAGGAATACGAAATGGGATGACCATAGGGTTGCTGTGGTCAGATTGAGTGGCGTGTCATGAACTGAGAAAAAAGGAAACCTGAGGAGTCGAAAGTCGATGGGGACTTCACGGCTATCAGGCAGAGAGCAGCAACAACGCCTGGAACGTCGATATGGAAAGTTCATATGGCCTAAAATGGAATGGAGATTCACAATTTGATTTACTGGTTCGCCAAGCTGACTCTGATTTCGATGTTTACTTCCAAGATATAGCAAAAGCTGGGCTTCTGTAACGTTTGTAAAGCTCACTTCCATTTCGAGTAACAATGCTTGGTGAAGAGATTCGAAGCATTCATATTAGCGCTGTTTCCGAGGCAATCTCTTTCGATTCAAGTAAAAATGTGCTAAGCTTTCGTATGATGGGCATCATCTTTACAAACATATTCAAGCTAACTAGTCAAGAAAACTCACCTACTTATATCTAAATGCCGTGTATTTATATACCCTATATCTAAGCTCTTTGATGAAATATAAAGTGATTTGGATAGTTCAAGTTATATGTCGACCTCGAAACATACGAGTGTCTGTCTGTTTGCGTTTATGTGCCTTCATAGGTTGGTATATGTACGAAACCAGTAGGTATGTCTTAAAGGAACTATAACATAAAAAGTAATTTCTGTTCTCGCCCATCAAGGTTTGATGACTACCATCATCCCTTTCTATGTATTTATTTTAATCATCACTCAGATTGCGCAGTCGGACGCACGACTATGTTCATGAGGTTATGTCTTCATGTAAGAGAGAAAGAGTGGACTAACAAGTGACCGTGATTAGAATCAGGACAAGAAAAACTATTTGAGTCGCTTCCTTTTTACAGGTATAACACCCACTTTATTCTTTCTCTTTAGTCTTTCTTTAGTCTTCCTTACGATTTCGCCTATCTTCTAAGAGAGAATGCACGAAAGCAAAGACAAAACATGGGAAAAGCTCTCCGGATTCTTATATTTCTTTACATATCCACCATCCCAAAAGGTATTCTTTATAAAGTTAGTGTTATTTTCAATCAGATCTGGGGGATAATTATTCTCAAGTACTAGTACTTTAAGCTGATCCAGTTCATTATTGCAATGGCTTCTATCGTCTTTTTGTATGCTCCGTATAAACATAGATTTTGAAATACCAACCTTTGTTCTGTCACTATGGTTGGAGAAGAAATAAAAGTTAAAACCAGCATGCGTTGAAATCCTATATACACCCTTGCATAACTTCTCTCCTGCTCTGATAAATAAAAAAAATACTAAATTGTAAATTATTATCCTTGTCTATCTCCATTGTGCAATAAGCATCACAATCAATTTGGCTAACTAAGAGCGAGAAATTAACTAAAATATCCCATATAATTAAACTATCCATGATTACTGTTGCACCACTTTAATCTGCCTTCAGAGCAAACAGATAATTTGGATGTAAATATCTAGAAATCTTATCAAAGTCCTAAGAATTTTTTGAAATAATTTCCTGGTCAAAATGAGGAATAATTTCTCTTTCTATACTATCCTTAATCTATCCTAGCAGCTTGTCTGACTAGTTAATTACTTCAACCAGTATCTACATAGAATGATTCTCCTCGATTGGAAAGGCAAAGTTCAGACCTTCTTCCAAGAGGACCTTAGCACACGTTTTTGAGACCACCAGTTTGACTCCAGCTTGGGGTGTTGATAAGACCTATGCGAGGTCGAAACTGCAGTCAACCCTGGATGAAAACATTTTTGGAGAAAGTGAGGCTATGTGAAATTCAATGTAAACATCAACTCTACTTATATCATTGTAGGAAAAATCACCTACCAGTCTTTCATCCCCTCAAACGAAAAAGGGTGAATACAACTCATACCTTTAATTTGTTTGAATTGGCGAGCGGAAGGGATTCATAAGTTTGCCTCACCGGAAACTGTACGGGGATTTCCTTGGAGATGTGACTAGATTTGTGCAAATAAGGCCTAGGCGCACCGCCCTGCGACCCCAAAGAATCCTTGCTGGGCTTTCGTCTGTCAAAGCAGAAAATCAGGCTTGAAGATACTTCACCAAAACACGAAGACAAGAAAGGTGGCTAGATTTAAACCTACCTATTTCTTATAGCCCAAATTGGTCCACTTAATTAAACATCTCATGTTGTAGTTGGATATCCTATCATTTGCTTACAATGTTTGCTGAATCCCTTCCACTAGCCTCTTCAAAGGAAATGAAAGGTACTTCAACATCAATCAATTAAAGGAAACTTTGAGACCCATTTTTTCTACATAATACTAAGTTTATTTATCTCCTTATTGTAACCGCTATTGCTTGAGTTAACTTTAATTCCTTAACTACTTAATTTCTCAACCTGAACTAATCAAATACAGTAAGACCTCAGATTTAGGGATGAACCTGCTTTTTTCGTCATATGAACGACGAAAGCCTAGCATGCTGTCACTAAAATCGAAAGAGATTGCCTCGGAAACAGCATCATAATTTCAGTAAAGCCATTCGGCATCTGGTCAATAAAACTCTGATGTCTTCTTCTGGTGGGATCGACCTTTGGGTGTCTTCACCAAAGACTATCATGTGAAATGGAAGTAAGTTGAGTAATTGTAACTCAGGAGAGTTCTCGAAACCCAAATTTCTTCGTATATCCTGTCAGACTGTCGTTAATCTGCTCACTCATCGTAAAGATATTGTGAGCCGAGGCAGTAGATGAGGTCTAAACGCTTTAGCAGCTATTTCATGCATTTTCCTGTCGCCTATAACGCCAAGCATTTGTCATGTGCCTACTCCTCGCCTCGTCTCATGACCTACGGCCCATCGTATCCTGCGTGGATTTGACTTTAACACTTTCCTGCTGGAAGGGACAATAAAAAGAGGCTCAACTTTCACGACTTTTGCCGGCGGTTCTCGAGCAGTGCAAGTACGTCTGGCGGGGGTTGGTTGAAAATGGTGAGAAGGGTACCGACAAATGCAATCACTTTTCCAGATGGTGGGATCCATCAGTTTCGCCTGATCCCATAAGCCCATTCTTCTCTGGAAGCGCAGCAATGTTAACACTTATTTTAGCACAGAATGCCGAAAGCTTGTTTTTATGCCAGAGGCCTTAAACAAGAGTGGGGAGAGAAGAGAGAGTTAAAAGTTAGCAGCAAGCAAAATGGACGGGCCTCGAGTCGGAGGCAGGGGTCAGAGGCCGACGCATGCACGACGAAGCGAAAGGGGAAATCGTGCTGAGTGTTTATGGGAACTGTGAAGGGGTATGGGGGAAATCTCGTTGGGTTGGATTGAAAGGATAGGATTTAACCACAGTGACACGTGGAGACTGTAGGCGACCGCAATCTGTCCTAAATTTTTCCACCACTTTTGGTGGTTTAATGAGCAAGTTAACGCTGCAACTGCTTCAGTATTGAGTACCGCAAACCACGACATGGCTTCGTCTTTTGACCAAGTTGGCTACACCAAACCTGATATCTCGAAGCCAACGTAGCTGTCCCACTTCGGCTTGGACACCTTTTGTGGAGCGTAAAAGGAGCACCGTGAAAAGGGGGTTGGAGTTGGAGTTGGGACACTTTGTACCGATGCTCAAAGCACTCCATTCTGGAGTGTGCCTCAAAATGTTGTCAATCCTCTACGAAATGCGTCATACACTAGCTTGTCATGAGGATATGTATCATTCATGAGTCAGGGCCAAACTCTTTAGGCCGTACCTGTTTTGGCGAAACTCTACCCACAGAAAGACATGATTGCTGTGAAATGCATTGCGTTGTACAACACCACAGTCTGGATTGCAACTTCGTCCTCGCCTGGAACATATTGGCACTAGAAACCTATTGGTAGACACGTATTCTATTGCTTCACACGGAAGGTATGGTTTTCAAGGCAAGATAGTGAGGCCAACTGGAAAATGAAGATGGATAAAATGGCGACTACCATGTGGCTACGTTGGAGTTAATAGAAGCAACTTTCTCTTAATCCTCCCCCCATTCGGGTCCGAGAAAAGTGGTATTCTAATCTTTCGTTCGCAAGTTATGCTGGCTGCAGTATTAAAAGTCCTTTCTTTGCTGTTAATAAACTATGATAAGGGAGAAAAATGACAAAATCACATTTTGCCGTCCTCAACTATGCTAATGCATATGATAGCAAGAACTTCGTCAACACATCGGCGCGTTCTGAGGAGCCTTGAGGCCAGACTCCTTGCTAATTCCAGGCCTCCTTGAGGTAGTTGAACACCTCACTAGAACATGCCGAAACGCCAACACTAGAATAATGAGGATATGTAACAAAATAGGCCAATACTGAGCCTTTCATTTTTCACTTTTCTCTGAATGTAATTATAGTAGCTTTAGGCTTGACAGCCTTCATGTGCTAAAAGTTAAACGATTCTCGAAATGATGGTATCTGCCAAATTAATTATACTAACAAATACCAAAAAAATGAATATATATAATATGTATTCAGTCTATTTCGTTGAAGATGATAAAGGACTGGTAGCTGAATTTTCCCAATATGATGTGAGTAGACGTTACGCAAGCAAGGCTGTGAAATTCACTTGAACCGTAAGACCTACTCATATAAATATTGGAAAATTCAACTACCACTTCATCATTACAAAATACGAAATAAGGTGAGTAAAGCCCTTATATATGATCTACTGCTAGTCTAGAAAACCTACCTATAAATGAAAAATATATTTTAGATAGTCTGTTCGCGTTGGTCATACAAAGCCAACAATAACAGGATCCTTGTGTTAGGCAAATTCACACGTCAAACTTCAACTTTCAACTTTTACACTTGTGTGGCGTGATGTATCATTAGAAGAATTCATTTTTTTAGGGCTACTTTTATTTGAGAGTAAAGGTTAAGCTTAGGAGCTGAAGAGGTCTCTCACGATACAATGGGGGATTTATTTGCTGTTGTAGACGAACCCTTGCGTCTGTATCCTGCCGAATTTTTATGTTTGAGTGGAATTCTTGTACCAATCAAACCGATCCCTTTAAATCTTCAACAGAAGAAGCAACGGAACAGTTTCTCCTCCATTGGAAGGCATTTGAACAAAAACATAAAGTTGTCACACGCAAACAAACTCAGAAATCTTTAGCATTCATGAACTAAGTAGGTTGGCTTCAAAATAATTAGTAGATTTTACATCAGAATTCAAGTAACTATTG